TCTATTTCCAAACACTTTCGAAAAAGTCTTCATATATATTGTAAATCTGTGCAATCATCGGAAACTCAGGTTAACTGAAATAAACTCTTTATCTTTCAATCTTGAGCTAAAGTCACTGGAAACTGCATTCTTCTGGTCCCTGCTTAGCTTCAGACAGGATGAAACAAGGCACACTCCTTCCAAGGTGCAAAACAAAACAAGATAACTGAAGAAGTATTGGAAATCTGAGCCATTTTGAGAGTATTTCTAACTTTTAAAAGTAAAAGTAGTAATATTTAATGAGTTGAAGCAGTCCAAACATAAGGAAAAAATGAAGACTCATTCTTGTGGTTGCTTTTCAAATCAGGCAGAACAATGGGAGGAAGCAACTGCTAACCTTCCTTCCTTCCTTCCTTCCTTCCTTCCTTCCTTCCTTCCTTCCTTCCTTCCTTCCTTCCTTCCTTGATCAGTTTCTATATATGACTCAGTCCACATTTTAGGCCTAAATGTTTGGTTGAGGATGCTTAAGCGATTTAAGTTGTTTCTGGACAAAGGTCTTTTTTATACTGAGAAGGACATGCAAATTGAAAGGCAGCAAACCTTTAAAGGTTTCCACCCTTCTTACTCAAAGACCCAGAGATTACTAGGACTCTTGAAAATATATTTCTCCTCCAAACCATTCAATAAAAATGATTATATGGGTGAATGTCATCTTGACTCTCTCCATTTTTAAAGGTATTCTTCTTTGGGTTCTATAAAATTGTGAGTTGGACTCAGATTTCTCCACAAGCTCTTCAGAAATCTCCTTCTGTCTTTTATGTCTTCAGATGTTTTGGCAGATGTTTCAATAACTGAATCAGGAGGAGGAGTGAAGAGACCTGGAGATTCTCTTCAACTTACCTGCACAAGCTCTGGCTTCAATATCGATAACTACTGGATGGTTTGGGTCCACCAGGCAGATGGAAAAGGGCTCGAGTGGATTGCAGAGATAAATAAAGGCACCACGTATTATGCCAATTCTTTCAAAGGGCGAGTCACCATCTCCAAAGATAGTTCCAGGAACCAAGTTTATCTAGACATGAACGGACTGAAAGCCGAAGACACAGCCAAGTACTACTGCACTAAGGAACACAGTGGAGAAAAATGAATCTGAGCTTGTGCTAAAACCTACAGTTTATGTGGCCAAAGGAAAGTTTCATTTGGATTCACTCCAGTGAAAAAGGAACCACAACAGGAAAGCTTTAAATGTATCATGAGCAATTCCTTTGGGATCTGCCACAGCTGTTTATTTATTCTTATTTTAGCAAGGAGATGAAAAGCGTGAAAAGGAACTGAATTTGCATATGTACAGTATCTGAAAGAATTATTTACTCTCTCAGCCCAACTCTCCCAACACAGAACACCTAGGACAGATGACAAATTAAGTTTGCAGATGAATTTTCATAAAGCAAGTAGCTCTTTGTACAATGTTTACATATAACAAATAACCAAGCTCATTTTATTCTGCTGGGTTGTAGGTATCTCAACTTTGCTCTTGTTCTAGGTCACTGAGCTTAAGTCACATGATTTATTTCATCAACCCTCTCTATTAAATATAATTCTCAAGAAATGTACAAAAAGGGCATTACACCTCGATGGAGAGAGAAACAAAGTGCCATGGACAGGGAGAGTTCAAGTTGATGGATGTGGTGGGGACCATAACTACAAATGGTCCAAAATCATCCAGCTAATTTTTCATAGAATTCATGCTCTTCTGGCTACAACATTAACTACTTCACAAAACAAGGTCTCTAAGTAATGCTAAGAAGGTGGTCTAAGGAGGTAGAGAGGGAATCAGAGAAAATTGATAACCAAAGAAGAAGCGGAAGTGCAAATCTGAGCCATGTTAACAATATTTTTATCTTTT